GGCCTGCGGAAGATGAAACAGGGATGTCGGCCACTGGTGCCGGAAACCTCACAAGCGTCTCTGCTGTCGCTCGGGCGACACCTTCGGTACGTTCCAGCCGTTGAAGCCTGGTGCAGAGCAAACGTGTTACCATGGTGATGTAGTTGTGACGCTATGGAGTACGAAACTTCAGTTCAGATTAAGGGTTATTGGTGACATGTTCATGAACTGTTGTCATGCATCACATCGAAAGCTCACAATGCAAGGTCTTCCCTTACGAGATGTGCTATTCGGCTTAACACGCGCTCGGGTGTGGTGAAGTTGGCCCCGATGTTCTGTTTTTTTAATGGATTGCGAACGGCGCGGCGTAGTGACGCCCAACCTTGCATAGCCGAAGACAATTAACTGCTGGATCTTTTGGTGTACCAAAATTAAATGTACCTTGTGACGTCGCTGAGCTATTGCAGGTCAAAATCAGGCCGTGGCTCTCAGCAAAGGCCATTTCGAGGAAATCGTTCATTTGTTAACTTTATAAACACAACTTCCATTGAACAAAGCCAGATATGAAGATCAGACCGAGGCCAAAACCAATCTTTTTTATTCCAGGGCTTGCTTGTTGAGGTAGTTTCTGGCGACCATTTTGAAATTGACAATGGTTGGACATACATGATTCATGGACTTATAAAAGGTCAGATTTGGTCACTGACATAAAATGACGAAGATTGATGTTTTGCTTGTATAAACGTACTGTCTATGGATGTTAACGAATGTTCAAGATGCCAATAGCGTTTGGACTGTGTTCATTTTCAGATCATAGCCTACTCACATCAGATACGTTTTCGCGTCGAGAGCATAGGAAAATTGCTATGAATAATACGTGCTTATATTTACGATAAATGACGAAATATTTGTTGATGTCACACACCATTTATTTTGTAATATCCACCATGCACCCACTGTGACAACCGATCACTCTCTCATTTCAGGGGAATGCAAAGCGAAATGTCACTACCCCTATCAATGCCGCACATTAGGAGGAAGATGTACCAAAGAATGGTGCTGCCCTCTGTACTTTCTGTAGACAGCCGCCACGTCGAAGACATCGATGTTTCAGGTGCACTATATTTAATGACCGCCCATCGCGAACACCGCGCCTCAACTCCTCGTGGACGCTGACAGGGAAACAAAGAAACCTCTGAAATGGACAGACTAGACCTAGAACTAAACAGAGCGGAAACAGACTGAACAGATACTAAAATTAGCAATACAAAATGAATACGAAAATAGCATGGAATGATTAACACTAAATTAGATCTCAAGATGATAGCAAACCAAGTGACTCAACAAACGAGAAGCGATCACTAATTCAAACTAGGAATGCAAACGGTGCACCGACTACATTTCGAAGCCATTCATAGACGGGTAAGTTGTACCGGCAAGTACCGGCTGCCAGTGTCGTCAAGGGATGGATAAAACTATAATGATCTTGATCCATGTGTATGATAATCTGTCACTGCATGCACATGTAGTTCATATTTTATGTTGGCGATAGCTTAACAAGGCGGCGTCGTGTATATATTTGCATGCGTGTGCACCAGTTGAAGACATCGAGGCGACGGCCTCGCAAAAGGTGACCGTGGAAGCACGGTATCGCGGAGAACGCCATACCGCAGTAGTCTTCCCGCAACAAGTACCTAACGAGATGCTATCAAGAATAGAACATTTTGGAGGTTGGTTTTTCTTGGCGGTGGTATCCAGATTTGCATAGTTTACATCTCAAATCGGGAGTGTCCACGCCAGGACCGGAAGACCCAGCTACAAACTCCCCGGTCTCTAAAGACCAGGTCTCCATCACACATCTTCCGGCGCACCGCAAGCATTCTGAGCCGCAAGCAATCCCAGCAGCAACTTTTATAGTGATGACCGTTCGTACATCAATCTTTACGCCGCCGTACATCGGTCTTTGTGCCGCCGTATTCGGGTAGGGGCATGCTGCGAACATCAACATTTTATTGTCCATCGTCTGTGCCTCGATCTCTTGAACAGAGAGAGAGATTGTCTATAACTTTTCTCCTAGACAACGTAGGTGATATTTTTGTGCGCCTTTGACGGGGTCAAAGGGAGTATTCAGATGATCATGCGCCTAGCCCGGAATTTCGAATAGCCAGGAAAAATGTTGTTCGTAACGGGAAATCCCTTCACTTTTTATTGCCAAATCTAGGAAAATCCGAGCCTTGGCTGAATGTATGCAAACTTCCGCCACTCTGTCCTCTGATGTATCTATCATTGATAAATCGTGTCGAAAAATTTCTGTTCTTATAGCCCATACATATGTAGAGCACTGCACAAAATACATGGCACCATTAATAAACTGCATTCCCTTCATAAACATTAGCCAATAGCGGAGTATTTAACGCAAGAGGCGTCGTCCGACTGCCACTCTACAAAAACTATTTTCGGAATCACACCATATCTTGTTTACCTCAAACCTGACAGAGCACATAGTTGTGCCGAACCACAGGTGCAGATTCAGAGTCTGAATCTCCCAAACAAAATGGAGGCCGCCATCTGGATCGATTACGCGGGAGCGAGAGCAATGATCACGAGAGCGAAACTGCGAAATCAGATTCCTTCCTCTTCCTTACCACTTTGAACCTGTTTACATCACTTTTTCAAATTACCTGAAATGACTTGAACAAATGGTCAGTAACATAACGTGCTAAAAACGCCGATTTCTGAAGTGATGATGCATATCATACACAGGACTCTCAATGCTTTCGGGATCATACTACGTGCCTAGTCTAATCCAACGTCGCATAGGCGTCGGACCATTTTCATAGGTCACTCACGCGGGCATGACGCACACTCATGCTGCATGGGCATACTTCACACGGATATGATGCACACCCCCGTGAGTGTCCTGGGCTGTGTAAGGACACTAATGAGGGTACCTGTCATTGAACGGGGCTGTGTAAGGACACTGCTGAGGAGACCTGTCGTGAACTGGGCTGTGTAAGGACACTGATGAGGGGGATCTGTCGTGAACGGTGCTTTGTAAGGACCACTGATGAGGGCTATGTCGTGGACGTAACCATGAGCGCAGCGTTTTAGTGGCGGCATCACCAGCAGCACAAGCGGAAGGTCTGGACCGACACCCTGAGAGCATACCGCCTCATTGTCGCTGTGCAGCTGCGTGGATACTGCATGGCAACAAGCCACACCAGGAGCTGAGCGACCACATGGAGTCATCCTGAGGGCACTCGACGGGAGGACATGGACAGAGTTCTTGGTAGAGATGCGGTGCACGGAAACGTCACAGAAACGATCGTAAACAGGGTTCGTGACATTGAGCAATCAGTCAGGATGCAGATGCGTAATCGCTGCCACTTTAGCCCCCGAGGTTCCCCATCGGCGGTGTTTGTACAAGGTTTATCTACGGCTTTACACTGTACCAATCTGCGTGGATACCACTGTTTTTCGGCTAGCACTATTTTCTAGATAACAGACAGTCTCGTTTCAAGTCAAAATCCCTTTCATTGGGTTTTGGCAGCTTTTGGGGAATCGCATTATGAGCCTACCAATATTTCCTTGTGTCATCGTGTGTTCTCCTCGAAATTAAGTTACAATAGCATAATTTGTTTTGTTTGCATTTGTTAAATTTGTTCATTCCTTGTCAATTGCATAATTTGCTAATTTGTTTAATCCTTTTTTCTCCTGGATATAAAGCTACAGTAGTGTGATTCGTGAGCGAATTTATCGCACCTTTGAACAGATGTGTCTCATTCATAGTGTGTCGTACTGCGGCGACGAGTTTCTGAGTGTCATAGCGTGTCCCTCATAGCGTGTCGCACTGCGGCGACAAGTTTCTGAGTGTGATAGCGTGTCACTCATAGTGTGTCACATTGCGGCGATGAGTTTCTGAGTGTCATAGCGTGTCACTCATAGCGTTACGAATTGCGGCGACGAGTTTCTGAGAGTCATAGCGTGTCCCTCATAGCGTGTCGAATAGCGACAACGAGTTTCTGAGTGTAATAGTGTGTCACTCATAGCGTGTCGCATTGCGGCGACGAGTTTCTGAGTGTCATAGCTTGTCACTCATAGAGTGTCACATTGCGGCGACGAGTTTCTGAGTATCACAGCGTGTCCGTTATAGCGTGTCACAATGCGGCGACGGGTTTCGGAGTGTCATAACGTGTCACTCATAGCGTGTCGAACTGCGGCAACGAGTTTTTGAGTGTCATAGCTTGTCACTCATAGCGTGACGCATTACGGCGACGAGTTTCTGAGTGTCATAGCGTGTCACTCATAGTGTGTCACATTGCGGCAACGAGTTTCTAAACGGACACTTTAGTACATTCGATGGTACATCTCTTTTATATACCTTCATATACCTTATATACCAATACCTTACGATATTCTAAAAACATGCGGCGTGTGTTTAGCGCATCCTTCTATATGTTAACTATTTATAACACATGCAGCTGCTGCGAGTGGTACCCTTACAATGAGAACGAGAGGACAGGAAACGCAGGCATCGCTCAATGGAGGTGATTTTAGTGACACAAATCAAGCTCGACGTTTGATTTTCGATTTGATCCTCATGCTGCGTCATGCATAAAAAACAACAGCAGAAATGGGCTCGTTGCCATCGAAGTTCTCTCTACAACCGTCTCACACGACCGTCTTGGTCAACAACATAGAAGTTCGAAACTGGATTAGCATTCTGAATTCTGAGAAATGTGCAAAGATGCGCCAGCAGCAAGACAAGGAAATTTGGCCCTCCTAACTACATTTAACTGGTTACAAAGAATATTTCCATGACTCTTTCGTGGCAGCTGACATTGCAGGGTCTCATATAAAAAGTACGAGGATGACAACCATTCCACACGTGCGCGGTCAGGTGGAAAGCGTTTTCTACAGTGCATGCGTCGTGTATGTAGCACATGTTTATATAACTACGGTATATAACACATGCTGCCTCCGTGAGTGGCACACCTACAGTGAGTGCAAGAGGGCACTGCACGACATGTATCGATCAATCGGGATTATTTTCGTCATTCGTAAACATCTTTGACCTTTGACCGCCGACTTGACCTTGAATTTGACCCATTTGTGAAAACTATGTGCAGAAATAGACTCCCTGTCATGGAAAATCTGTCAAAAATGGTGCAAAACGACCTTCTAATCCATCGATAGAAGGAAAAAAGTTGAATTTGGACAAAAATTCAAGATGGCGGTGGCCACCGTCTTGAGTTTTGCGCTAAGCTCAGATACCCAAGTGGTTACTAAGCCAATTTGGATCTCCAAGCTACAGGGAACATATTTCCGTGAAAAAGTCCGCGGTAGTGCACATTGCAGGGTGTCATCAAGGAAGCATCAAAATGGCAACTCGACTATTAACACCATTCAACATCATAATTCAGCGAGGTGACTAACGCAACGCTTGATCACAATCGGTCGGTACGTCCCATGTACTTACATTCTGAATGTGTTGCGTGGGCTATGTCGGCATTGTCCTCTACGCCGTTCCCTGTGTGACTAAGCAGTAATGGCACGTTCGTAAACAAAGGTTATGGCTGATGATATCACCTTGTTCTTGGAAATGTCGCCGGACATGAAAGGCTCGTTTGTTGACCTTTGGAGGGGACGGGATGATTGACACTCTTTCCGCTTCATGGTCCGTTTTTGCCGGTATAAAAAGCGACCAAAGGAAACATGGGCATATCCTGTTGAGTCGTCTCTCACCAACAATGCGTCTGCTGCCATTGATTGCCGTGCTTTGTCTGGTGTTGGTGACCACTGAAGGTGAGTTTCTGGCGTTTCTCTCGGCAAAGTCCTGTTGTGTTGGTCGCGACTCTTTGGCAAGGGAGGTATTTGACAGACATGACGAAAAAAGATCCATGATGAGACCTTGAAAGTATTGTGTCAGCCGGGGCGTCATAGCACCACACGGAGAGCTCTCGGTCCACGTTCTGTAAGGAGATTTCAAAGTCACGCTGTGATGGACCCTTGGGATGGACTCTATGTAATGATTATATTTGTGCTTCGGGCAGCTAAGTACAAGTGTTGGTGTGTGGTACAACCATGAAAGTGCATAATTCATTGAAAGTTATTCCATCATAATGCACTGCCAATTTCCACCTTCATCACCGACTTTCCATGGTTGCCAACGCAGATACCACTGGTAGGTGGGAGCGGCAGGCACAGCATGTCCCCAAAAATAGCTGGTGGGCCTTCTGCCCCGCTTTCATATTTTCTGTGAGAGCTATGGTGTACGCGTCTGCACAAAAAAAACTGTCAGCTTTAGGTCTCACTGCCTCACTTTTCTAGGTCCACTTTTCGTTGTTTGCCATGTTATGTCAGGTAAGCTGGTATGCTAATGATAGGTCTATTTTGGAGCAAACTGTCTCGCAAACTGTAATCTGAATACGCATCTTGGCAAACTATCCACCTGCTAAAATGACCCGTCCGAAGCTGCTACTCATAGTAGTAGCTGCTATATTGAGCAGAGTCGTCCTGGTCGGCTGAACCACTCCAAGATATCTTTTACCGGCACCCTGGCATTTGCACCAACCGGGTGGTGCGAAATCAACCGGATTTTTAATATTATTGTTCCTATTAAACCGGGCGTGTCTGATCTAAATGTCAGTAAAAGATGCAAAAAGGTAAGACGATCCTTTTCAGACCTCCGAGAGATGTGTTCGTGAGGTATTAGGTGGGCAACCACACCTCAACCAACCCAAGAGAATCATGTATTCCCTGTGGGCAGTCACGATTGTATGGGACCAAAGCTTTGACCGTAAAAGAGCCTTCTGGTTCCCTTCAGCAACGCATTAGGCCGCCAGCCATATGTCAGATCTGTACCTCAACTGTCAGCACTCCAGACCGTCGTGCATACAAGCATTGCATCGTGCTAAATGACTCCTTGAGTTCTAGCACGTCAAAAGTGTGGCAGACTTCAACCGTAAACAGAGGTAACCAACCGGTGCATTGCAGGTGGAAGGTGTCGCAAATTCGGCAAGGCGTGTGGAATAGGGAACAGGGATGTGTGCCGCTGGTGTTGGAGGCCTCACAAGCGTCTCTGCTGTCTTCCGGGCGACACATACGGTACGTTCCATTCGTTGTCGCCTGGTGATGAGCAGACGTTGTCGCCATGGTGATGTGTGACGCTATGGATTACGAAACGTCAGCTCAAACTAGGGGTCGTTAGTAACATGTTCATAAACTGTTGTCATGCATCACATCGATAGCTTACAAGTAAGGTCTTCCGTTACGAGATGTGCTGTTTAGTTCTAACATAAGCTCGGGTGTGTGTGAAGTTGCCCCGGATGTTTGTTTTTTTCAAAATGGATTGCGAACGGCGCGGCGTGGTCACACAGAACTTTGCATAGCTGTAAACATTTAAAGGCTGGATCTTTTGCTATGCAAGAATTAGGCGTACTTTGCAAGGTCACTGACCTATTGCAGGCCAACATCAGGCCGTGACTCTCAGCGAAGACTATTTCTAATAGTGTTGCATTTCTGAACCACTGTGGATTTGTGCTACGCGAAACCCCAGCTAAACGGAGGTTGACTGTGAGATACTTATCAACTCATGTCATACATGGCGTCGATCGCTCGCCCATCAGGCTTTCTCTCATGAAGTGCGCTCTTCAGTTTTCTTAGAGATGCAATATGCATTTCGAGCATTGCATTTGCTCATGTTAACAGCGATTTTTTAGTCATGGGATGGTTGTCATAAATTGCACGCTTCTACATTCCAATTGGCTGACGTTATGTTCGTCGAAGCTATATCAACCTGCTGCAGAGGATTCAACATCCACAAATCCCTGCAAGCGACCGTTCTCTAATTTCAGGTGAGTGCGGGAGAAAATGCAGTTTCCCAAATACCTGCAGCACACTAAACGGCGATTGTCACAAAGGATGGTGCTGCGTATACTGCAAAGGAAAACATTGCTGGACGGGCTAGCTGCACCACTTGCTGCCGGCTGCCGCTGTCGTCAAGGGATGGATGACGACTGCACTGACGCCAGATGTGAAGTGACTGCATGCACAAGGAAGACCCATGCTATGTTGGTGGCATAACAGCAAGGTCGTACGTAATTCTTAACAGGTGTTTATGCGAACCGGACATTTAGCTACTTGTAGTTGGGCTTTACGTTGAATACAATTACGGAACCATCTATTTGGAAGCATCTGTTTTGCCAACTCAAAAGGCATCGGCGCCGGTCCGTAAAGCAGGGGTATTGTGGCGGGCAGTGCGAACGACACCTGGTCATCTGACAAACGTGTACTCGACGTCCTCAGGTACAAGGTAGGTCATTTTCAGGTTGAAAAAATGCCCATATCAGCGTCACATGGATCGACAGGTCCACACACAGACTCCTCTCCGCCTAAAGTTGTGGAATTCGATACACGTAATTCGTTCACATTGAAAACATTGAAAACTGCAGCACTCAGAACATGGACGTTTTCTGCGGCGATCGCCAGCCCCTCGATCTCCTGAACCGCGACATTCTGAGCATTCATTTCTCGAATCCAAACTCTCTTAACTTTGACATTGTACCAGAACTTTGACAATGTATCGGCCGAAAGGGCCTCGAGCACCTGAACGTAGGCCACCTTAGCCCCGAATATTTCAACATCGACCTTTTGTGTCTCGGCTTCCTGAGCTTCCCAGGTCTGGACCTTGGCCTTCTGAGCACGACCTCCAGATCCTTGAGCCAACATTGAAGAAAATCGTAGGAAAGCGTAAAGATTTGAGTTTTGCATGGTCCCTAATTGTTGCCTGGAAAATTTGGGCATTTCTTTGCATCTGTACTGTTTTATTCACGGGTGCTTCCGTTTGACAGGCAACTTGGCATGTTTCACTCGTTATGTAAGTAAAAAGTTCGATTATCAAGGCTTTCGGTGAGGATTTTGCTCCCTGAATATCACTTTTTCATCAGACTCCTTCATCCAGATTAATGAGCACGGGTTGATGACTAGATGAGTCAACTTCGAAGAAAAACATAAGGGCCACCCTATAGCCATCATTTCTTCCAACTATTTTAACCTTCCTCTTGACAGGATGCGTGATGATCATTTTCACATTCCATTTCCATCGTTTGTTTTTGGGTTTATTAGTGTTTTCATTTGATATGCAGCGCGCCCCACGCATGCTGTAACGCCGTTACTCAAGCGAAACATTCTCTTAGATAGTTTTCCTACGTGATTTTGCCGTCCTAAAGATGGCACATATGGTCTCTGCAGCCATCAAAACGAGCATCGGTCGACGGTTTAATAAATTGCTGTAAAAAAGCGCACGGACAGCCCAATAGACAAAATGTTTTGCTGATCGTGTACGGCTTCCACTCTAGGCAAGGTAGGCCGTATTTGTAAGCATCGTTGCCTTCGCATCAGCATGAGTTTCCTCGAGATGATGCAGCTCGCCAGAATTTTGATTTCCTCGGGGAGATATTGGTCCGTAAAGTGCAGGAATGGTGCCAAATATAGACTGAATCTGGGGTCAGATACGCTACAATATTGTTCCAGGGAAAAAATTGATAGTATATTATGGGTAATTTATGCATCATTCATAACTAAGTATGCAACGCTGAGCATTTAACGTAAAAGTTGTCTACTGGATGTCACTCTAAAGAGTCGCTGTGTTAGACTCTACAGGGGAGAAATCAAAGCCATAGTACGACATTTCATGTAATTCCCGTGCTAACGCCCACATACTTGAATACATCAGTCGTTTAATGCGCGCTCGGGTGGGAGAGGTCAGATTGACCCCCCGAAAGCTTTTCCCGAATGGTTCCGAATGGCGCGGCGTAGCGGCGCCAAATTTTGCATAGCTGTAGACAACTGAATAGCGGATCGTTTGGCGACAAGAAAATTCGATGACATTGTCTCGGTTCCTGATCAGATGATGTTGTGAATGTCCCTGAAAGATGAAAAACTGTTGCAAAACAAGCTGCAAAAGTGAAGCCAGCAAGAGGAGTCTTTCTAGGGTGGTAAGAACGCTCAAGGTGGGAGTTAAGAGGTCAAGACAGTGTGTCGGATCCTTTCATTGTACAGAATGGTGTGCGTCAAGGAGGGTAACGTCTCACCACTGCTGTTCAATGTGTACATAGTTTAGCTTCTTCGTGAGTTGCAAATGTTACCAATCGCTTGTTATGTGGTGAAATGAACAGCAAATGAACTAGTCTCTGCCGATAACACAGTGCTTTTATCTATCACGAGGAAAGGGTTTAAAGCGTTGAGTCGTAGCTGCCAAGTATTTGTCATGCGCAGGAAAATTCAAATCAATGTAAAAAACTATGCATGTTTTTCAACTCTCAAAGGTCATATACAGTGCCACACCTGTTTAACTCTAGGCTCCCAAATATCATTGTTAATGAATACATAATAAGATGAGCGGAGGAGCTTAAACATAGGCCCTGTAGTGGCCAGTTCTCTCAGTGGCAGTCAAGTTGCGCAAAGAGTTAAAGGTTTCTTGTATGACGGCGTAAAACTTTGATCTAACTGTTCCAAGCATATTATACTAGCGTGTATATTGTGAACTGTGCAACACTGTGAGTGGATAGAAAGGATTTCAAGAACGCTGTATGGCCTACCACTTATGTGAAGAGAAGCTGGTAAGGGTGCCACGGTGGACAAGGATTCATTATCTGTGTAAAGAGCTTGAACCTCTACCTATGGATATCTGGAAACAGCTTCTATGGATATGTGGGAAACGATCTCACCTTAAGCAGTGCTTGTTGTGTGAGCTCTGACTCCTACCATCCGATCGCGCGATTCCAGGCAACGGCAGGAATTTCATGGCGTAAGTTTAACGTGCCGCAATGCTCGAGACGGTCCGTCCTGCCCTCTGACGTCACTTGACCTTTACCGCGGCTGCTGCCACCGGCCGCAGGCAATACCTGACAAGCGCAAATAGCGAGCGCTCAAACGACTCGAGCGCATCCCGGCACGGGTGGCAGAATCGGAAGGCAAGAGCTCTAACCAACTAAACCAACGGGACGGGAAAGTCTTGTCCCATGTTAGTACCTATCTAGTAGCTGGAGTTCAACCAAAGACTCGTGTCCATTGAGAACAGCATTGTTGGGGCATTGCATGTAAGCGAAGTAGGGGTTAGTGGGGTCATCGCCAGAACATATGCGCATATCAGACATGCATATAATTTCATGGTATTAGACTTCCCGGGAGTCAGCAGGTCACATGTCTGGAACATCTTTTCGCTCACGTGGGTCGGTTTGTCCCGCGATCGCCACCAAATGCGCGAAATAGGTCATGACCCAGGATAATATCCTCCGACCTATCAAACAACTTCTGAGTGCGTCACCTTCTGTCTTCCTCTATGTTTGTGAGTGTGCTGCGTATATTTTCTATGTGTACAAAGATATGTGCCAGCCTGGTGGTGCGAAATAAACTGTATCATTAATATTATTGTCTCTTTTAAACCGGACGTCTCTTGTAATCCTATAAATCTAATAAATCCATAAACGTCTCTAATAAATCTAATTATCCGTAACAGATGCATAAAGGCAAGATGATCCCTTTCAGACTCTCAAGGGGCGTGTGCATCAGGTATCAAGGCAGTAACCACCCCCCTACGCACCCAGGAGGATCATGCATTCCATGTGAGCAGTTGCAATCATATGGTGTCAGATCTTTGATGGTTGAACAGCCTTTTGGCTCCCTGGAACAATGAATACTCATGTGCCAGATCTGCGCCACAAATGTCAGCATTCTAGGCCGTCGTGCAAACAGAAGTCATATCGTACTGAGTGACTCCATGAGTACTAGCACATCAAAGCTGTGGCAGGTTTCAGTCGTATTGGGAAGTAACCAACTCATGCATTATACGTCGAAAATGTTACAAATTCGGCCAAGCGTGCGGAAGATGGAACAGGGATGTCTGCCGCTGGTGCCGGAAACCTCACAAGCGTCTCTGCTGTCGTTCGGGCGATACCTTCGGTACGTTCCAGCCGTTGCCGCCCGGTGCTGAGCAAACGTGTCGCCGTGGTAATGTAGTTGTGACGCTATGGAGAACGAAACTTCAGTTCAGATTAAGGGTTATTGGTGACATGTTCATGAACTGTTATCATGCATCGCGTCGATAGCTCCCAATGTAAGCTCTTCTCTTACGAGATGTGCTATGCGGCATAACACGCGCTCGGGTGTGGGTGAAGTTGACCCCGATGGGATTTTTTAATGGATTGCGAACGACGCGGCGTAGTCAAGCCCAGCCTTGCATAGCCGAAGACAATTCCCTTACGAGATGTGCTGTTTAGTTCTAACATACGCTCGGGTGTGTGTGAAGCTGCCCCGGATGTTTTTTTTTCTCAAAATGGATTGCGACCGGCGCGGCGTGGTCACACAGAACTTTGCATAGCTGTAAACAAGACCAAGGCCAAAACCAAGCTATTTATTCGAGGGCTTGCTTGTTGAGGTAGTTTCTGGCGACCACCTTGAACTTGGCAACGATTGGACATACATGATTCATGGACTTATAAAAGGTCAGATTAGATCACTGACATTAAAGACGAAGATTGGTATTTTGATGTATAAGCGCACTGTCTATGAATGTTAACGAATGTTCAAGATGCCATTAGCGTTTGGACTGTGTTCATTTCCAGATCATAGCATACCCATGTCAGATGCGTTTTCGCGTCGAGAGCATAGGAAAATTGCTATGAACAATACGTGCTTATATTTACGATAAATGACGAAATATTTGCTGACGTCACACACCATTTGTTTTGTAATATCCACCATGCACCAATTGTGACAATCGATCACTCTCTCATTTCAGGGGAATGCAAAGCAAAATACCACTATCCATATCAATGCCGCATATTAGGAGGAAGATGTACCAAAGGCTGGTGCTGCCCTCTGTACTTTCTGTAGACGGCCGCCACGTCGAAGGCACCGATGTTTCAGGTGCACTGTATTTCATGACCGCCCATCGCCAACGCCGCACCTCAACTGATCGTGGACGATGACAGGGATACAACGAAACCTCGGACATGGACAGACTAGACCTAGAACTAAACAGAGCGGAAACAGACAGAACAGATACTAAAATTAGCAATACAAAATGAATACGAAAGTAGCATGGATTGACTAACAATAGCTTAAATCTGAAGATAATAGCAAACTAAGTGACTCAACAAACAAGAAGCGAGCACTAATCCAAACTAGAAATGCAAACGGTACACCGACTACATTTCGAAGCCATTGCATAGACGGGCAAGCTTGTACCGGCGTCTACCGGCTGCCAGTGTCGTCAAGGGATGGATAAAACTAGTAATGATCTTGAATCCATGCGTACGATAATCTGTCACTGTATGCACATGTAGTTCATATTTTATGTTGGCGATAGCTTAACAAGGCGGTGCTCGTGTATATATTTGCATGCGTTGTTGCCCAGTTTAAAACATCGAGGCGACGGCTCGCAAAAGGGTGACCGTGGAAGCACGGTATCGCGGAGAACGCCATACCGCAGTAGTCTTCCCGCAACAAGTACCTAACGAGATGCTATCAAGAATAGATCATTTGGAGCTTGGTTTTTCTTGGCGGTGGTATCCAGATTTGCATAGTTTGCATCTCAAATGGGAGTGTCCACGCCAGGACCGGAAGACCCAGCTACAAACTCCCCGGTCTCTAAAGACCAGGTCTCCATCACACATCTTCCGGCGCAACGCAAGCATTCTGAGCTCCAACAATCCCAGCTGCAACCTTTATAGTGATGACCGTTCGTACATCAATCTTTACGCCGCCGTACATCGGTCTTTGTGCCGCCGTATTCGGGTAGGGGCATGCTGCGAACATCAACTTTTTATTGTCCATCGTCTGTGCCTCGATCTCCTTAACAGAGGGAAGAGATTGTCTATAACGTTTCTCCTAGACAACGTAGGTGATATTTTTGTGCGCCTTTGACGGGGCCAAAAAGAGTATTCAGATGATCATGCGCCTAGCCCGAATTTCGAATTGCCAGCGAAAATATTGTTCGTAACGGGAAATCCCTTCACTTTTTATAGCCAAATCTAGGAAAATCCGAGCCTTGGCTGAATGTAAGCAAAACTCCGCCACTTTGTCCTCTGATGTATCTATCATTGATAAACCGTGTCGAAAAATTCCTGTTCTTACAGCCCATACATATGTAGAGCACTGCACAAAATACATGGCACCATTAATAAACTGCATTCCCTTCATAAACATTAGCCAGTAGCGGAGTATTAAACGCAAGAGGCGTCGTCTGACTGCCACTCTACAAAAACTATTTTCGGAATCACACCATATCTTGTTTACCTCAAACCTGACAGAGCACATAGTTGTGCCGAATCACAGATGCAGATTTAGAGTCTGAATCTCCCAAACAAAATGGAGGCCGCCATCTGGATCGATTACGCGGGAGCGAGAGCAATGATCACGAGAGCGAAACTGCGAAGTCAGATTCCTTCCTCTTCCTTACAACTTTGACCCTGTTTACATCACTTTTTCAAATTAACTCAAATGACTTGAGCAAATGGTCAGCAACATAACGTACTAAAAACGCCGATTTCTGAAGTGATGATACATATCATACACTGGACTCTCAATGCTTTCGGGATCATACTGCATGCCTAGTCTAATCCAACGTCGCATAGCGTCGGACCAATTTCATACGTCACTCACGCGGGCATGACGCACACTCATGCTGCACGGGCATACTTCACACGGATATGATGCACACCCCCGTGAGTGTCCTGGGCCGTGTAAGGACACTGATGAGGGGACCTGTCATGAACGGGGCTGTGTAGGACACTGATGAGGGAACATGTCGTGAACGGGGCTGGTAAGGACACTGATGAGGGGACCTGTCGTGAACGGGGCTGTGTAAGGACACTAATGAGGGGACCTGTCGTGAACGGGGCCGTGTAAGGACACTGATGAGGGGACCTGTCGTGAACGGGGCTGTGTAAGGACACTGATGAGGGGACCTGTCGTGAACGGGGCTGTGTAAGGACACTGATGAGGGGACATGTCGTGAACGGGGCTGTGTAAGGACACTGATGAGGGGACCTGTCGTGAACGGGGCTGTGAAAGGACACTGATGAGGGGACCTGTCATGAACGGGGCTGTGTAAGGACACTGATGAGGGATATGTCGTGGACGTAACCATGAGCGCAGCGTTTAGTGGCGGCATCACCAGCAGCACAAGCGGAAGGTCTGGACCGACGCCCTGAGAGCATACCGCCTCATTATCGCTGTGCAGCTGCGTGGATGCTACATGGCAACAAGCCACACCAGGAGCTGAGCGACTACATGGAGTCAGCCTGAGGGCACTGGACGGGGAGGACATGGATAGAGTTCTTGGTAGAGAGCCGGTGCACGGGAACGTCACAGAAACGATCGTAACAGGGGTCGTGACATTGAGCATCAGCAGGATGCAGATGCGTAATCGCCGTCACTTTAGCCCCCGAGGATCCCCATTGGCGGTGTTTGTACAAGGGTTATCTACGGCTTTACACTGTACCAATATGCGTGGAAACCACTGTTTTTCGGCTAGCACTATTTTCTAGAAAACAGGCAGTCTCGTTTCAAGTCAAAATCCGTTTAATTGGGTTTTGGCAGCTTTTGGGGAATCGCATTATGAGCCTACCAATATTTCCTTGTGTCATCGTGTGTTCTCCTCGAAATTAAATTACACTGGCATAATTTGTTTTGTTTGTATTTTCTTTTAAATTTGTTCACTCCTTGTCAATTGCATAATTTGCTAGTTTGCTTAATCCTTTTTTTCTCCTGGATATAAAGCTACAGTAGTGTGATTCGTGAGCGAAGGTATCACATCCTTGAACAGATGTGTGTCATTCATAGTGTGTCGCATTGCGGCAACGAGTTTCTGAGTGTCACAGCGTGTCACTCGTGGCGTGTCGCATTGCGGCGGCAAGTTTCTGAGTGTCATAGAGTGTCACTCATAGCGTGTTACATTGCGGCGACGAGTTTCTGAGTGTCACAGCGTGTCACTTATAGCGTGTCACAATGTGGCGAAGGGTTTCTGAGTGTCATAGCGTGTCACTCATAGCGTACCGAATTGCGGCGTCGAGTTTCCGAGTGTCATAGCGTGTCACTCATGGCGTGTCGAATTTCGGCAACGAGTTTCTGAGTGTCATAGCGTGTCACTCATAGCGTGTCGCATTGCGGCGACGAGTTTCTGAGTGTCATAGCGTGTCACTCACAGCGTGTCACATTGCGGCAGCGAGTTTCTGAACGGACACTATAGTACATTCGATGGTACATGTCTTTTATATACCTTCATATACCTTATATACCAATGCCTTACGGTATTCTAAAAACATGCCGCGTGTGTTTAGCGCATCCTTCCATATGTTTACTCTTTATAACACATGCAGCTGCTGTGAGTTGTACCCTTACAATGAGTACGAGAGGAAAGGAAACGCAGGCTTCGCTCAATGGAAGTGATTTAGTGATATAAATCAAGTTCGACGTTTGATTTTCGATTTGATCCTCATGTTGACGTCATGCACAAACAAATAACAGCAGAAATGGGCTCGTTGCCATCGAAGTTCTCTCTACAACGGTCTCACCCGTCCGTCTAGGTCAGCAACATAAAATTCGAAACTGGATTAGCATTCTGAATTCTGAGAAATGTGCAAAGATGTGCCAGCAGCAAGACAAGGGAATTTGCCCCTCCTAGCTACATTTAACTGGTTACATAGAAGATTTCCGTTACTCTTTCAAGGCAGCTGACATTGCAGGGTCTCATATAAAAAGTACGAGGATGACAACTATTCCACACGTGCGCGGTCAGGTGGAAAGCGTTTTCTACAGTGCATGCGTCGTGTATGTAGCACATGTTTATATAACTACGGTATATAACACATGCTGCCTCCGTGAGTGGCTCCCCTACAGTGAGTGCAAGACGACACTGCACGGCATGTATCGATCAATCGAGATTATTTTCGTCATTCGTAATCATCTTTGACCTTTGACCGCCGACTTGACCTTGAATTTGACCCATTTGTGAAAATTATGTGCAGAAATAGACACCCTGTCATGGAAAATCTATTAAAAATGGTGTCAAACGACCTTCTATTCCACCGATAGAAGAAAAAACGTTGAGGCTGGACAAAAATTCAAGATGGCGGTGGCCACCGTCTTGAATTCTGCGATATGCTCAGATTCCCAAGTGGTTACTAAGCTAATTTGGATCTCCAAGCTGCTGGAAGCATATTTCCGTGAAAAAGTCCGCGGTAGTCCACGTTGCAGGGTGTCATCAAGGAAGCATCAAAATGGCAACTCGTCTATAAACACCATTCAACATCCTAATTCAACGAGGTGACTAACGCAAGGCTTTATCACAATCGGTCGGTACGTTCCATGTACTTTCATTCTGAATACGTTGCATGGGCCATGTCGGCATTGTCCTCTACGCCCTTCCCTGCGTGACTAAGCAGTAATGGCGCGTTCGTAAACAAAGGTTATGGTTGATGATATCACCTTGTTCTTGCAAATGTCGCCGGACATGACAGGCTTGTTTGTTGACCTTTGGAGGGGACGGGATGATTGACGTCCCCTCCGCTTCCTGGTCCGTTTTTGCCAGTATAAAAAGCGACCAAAGGAAACATGGGCATATCCTGTTGAGTCGTCTTTCACCAACAATGCGTCTGCTGCCATTGATTGTCGTGCTTTGTCTGGTGTTGGTGACCACTGAAGGTGAGTTTCTGGCGTTTTTCTTGGCAAAGTCCCCTTGTGTTGGTCGCGGGCTCTTTGGCGATGGAAGAATGTAACAGAAATGACAATAAAAAGGTCCATAAGGAGACCATGAAAGTATTCTGTGTTAGCCGGGGCGTGTAGCACCATACGGAGAGCTCTTGGTCCTCTGTAAAGGTGAAAAACTGTCCCAAAATCTGTTGTCAAAATGAAGACATTCAGGGGCTTCAAAGGAAGTGTGTGACCATCAAAGAAGATTTCAAAGTCACGCTGTGATGAACCCTGGGGATGGACCCTATGTAATGATTATATTTTTACTTCGGGCAGCTCAGTACAAATATTGTGTGTGGTACATTTTTGAAGTGAATAATTCATTGGAAGTCATTCCATCATACTGCACTGCCAATTTCCACCTTTTTCACTGACTTTCCATGGCTGACAAAGTAGATACCACTAGTAGATGGCAACGGCAGGGAGATATGTCCCCAAAAATAGCTGGTGGGCTTTTTACCCCGCTTTCATATTTTCTGTGAGACCTATGGTGTAGGCGTCTGCACAAGAAAAACTGTCAGCTTTAGGTCTCACTTCCTCACTTTTCTATGCCAGCGTTTTTTTTACCATGTTATGTCAGGTAAATGTGGTGTGCTAATGATAGGACTATTTGTAGCAAACTGTCCCGCAAACTGTGATCTGAATACGCATCTAGGCAAACTATCCAGCTGCTAAAATGCCCCGTCCGAAGCTGCTACTCATAGTAGTAGCTGCTATATTGAGCAGAATCGTTCTGGTCGACTGAACCACCCCAAGATGTCCTGTACCGGCACCCCCGGCATGTGTACCAAGCGGGTGGTGGGAAATAAACTGGATTATTAATATTATTGTTCCTATTAAGCCGGGCGTGTCTGATCTAGATATCAGTCAAAGGTGCAAAAAGGTAAGATGATCCATTGCAGACCCCCGAGGGATGTGTTCGTGAGGTATTGGGGGGGGGGGGGATCACACCTCAACCAACCTCAGGATAATCATGTATTCCCTGTGGGTAGTCACGATTGTATGGTGCCAAAGCTTTGATCGTAAAAGAGCATTTTGGTTCCCTTCAGCAACGTACTAGACCGCTAGTCATATGCCAAATGTGCGTCACCATTGTCAGCACTCCAGATCGCCGTGCAAACAGAAGCTATGTCGTGCTAAGTGACTCCTTGAGCTCTAGCACGTCAAAATTGTGGCAGGTTTCAACCATATTGGTGAAGTAACCTACTCATGCATTGCAGGTGGAAAGTGCTACAGATTCGGCCAGGCGTGCGGAAAATGGAAAACAAAAGTCTGCCGCTGGTGCTGGAAACCTCACAAGCATCTCTGCTGTGTTTGAGGCGACACCTTCAGTACGTTCCAGCCGTTGCCGCCCGGTGCTGAGCAAGCTTGTAGCCATGGGGATGTCGTTGTGGCGCTATTGGCTACGAAACCCCAGCTCAAACTAGGGGTGTTATGTAACATGTTCATGAACTGTTGTCATGCATCACATCATAGCTTACATGAAGCGTCTCCCCGTACGAGATGTGCTGTTTAGTTTTAACACGCGCTCGGTTGTGTGTGAAGTTGCCCCGGATGTTTTTTTCTCCTGTCAAAATGGATTGCGAACGGCACATCGTAGTCACACCGACCCTTGCATAGCCGTAGATAATTGCTATGCAAGAATCAGACGTGCCTTGTACGGTACCTTTTAAAATCGCTGACCTATTGCAGGTCAAAATAGGGCCGTGGCTCTCAGCGAAGGCCATTTCTAGAAAGTCATTTATTTGATGCGGCGACGAAGTGTTTGACGAAGCCATACATCTCTTAGATAGTCTATGATGGCATAAACTAATTGCATTTATCAACAACAACTTCCATTGAAGTCGGCCAGGTATGAATGTCAGGCCGAAGTCAGAAGTAGCGTTTCATATTCGAGGGCTTGCTTCAAGAGATAGTTTCTGCAGCTCATTCGAAGTTAGCAAAGACAGGGATTGCAACATACATGATCCATGTACTTTTAACGTCAGGCTGAGTCACTGACCTAAAATGACCAAGATTAATATTCTGTTTTTAGGAACGTATGCCTAGCGGAGACTTTGATTATTTTTCAATTGCAAAAAGGGGTCAGTCTTGTGAATCTGTGTTTGCCATGACCTTATTAAGGTCAGACAAGGTCACTGAACTTATATTGTCTAGATGCACAGCGGTTGCATGAAAGGGTCTGGGGATACTGATCTGAAGTTTAATCTTGTTGACCTCGTTTGACCACAGAAGTCATGACCTAGGAATCTACAATTTTGACACAGGTGAATTCACATATAAGCGACTCACTCTGTGTATTTGGTGTTTCAAGCTTTCATACTTTTTGATATCGCAAGGGGTCAAACTGACCCCCACCCGAGCAAAGGATGTTTAACCGGCCACATCGTCGTGTGTTAAGATGCGATTTGCGTTTCGATTGTGTTCATTTTCATATCATAACATAATCATTTCAGATGCGTTTTGGCATCGAAGCCATAGGATACTCGCCATGAATAATACATTCTTCTTAGTTACGATAAATAACGAAATATTATTTCATGTCACACACCACTTACTTTGTAATATCCACCATGCACCAATTGTGACGACCGATCAACCCCTCATTTCAGAGGAATGCAGAAGAAAATGTCGCTTCCCCCGTCGATGCAGCACATTGAGAGGTACGCTGTAGCAAAGGATGGTGCTGTGTTTCGGTGCAAAGGAAACGTTGCAAGGGTTAACTGCACCACCTACTGTCGGCTGCCTGCTGTCCGTCACGGGATGGATAACGACTGCAGTGATGTGATATGTCGCTGCATGCACACGGTATTCCTATTTTATGTTGAACGCACTTTTGCAAGATCGTGTTCGATTTCCTGCACGTGTTTATGCGAACCGGACAGGCAGCTTCTTACGAGAGGGTGTTACATTGAATACAATTACGGGATCGTGTATTTGTTTACATCTGTTGTGCAAGTTTGAAATGCAAGGCGACAGTTCGCAAAGGGTGGCCATTGAAGCATGGGATCGCAGAGGACACCAGACTGCAGTTGTCATGTCACAGCAGGCACCAAGAGACATTACAGTCCCAGAGACCCCCGCCCGCGCCGAAGAACCGCGCCTATACTGTGAGCAGTTACAGTCATGTGGTGTCAATGCTTTGATCGTAAAATAACCTTTTGGTTCTCCCGAGCAGCCTATTAGACCGCTAGCCATATGCCAGACTTGTTCCACAGTTTTCAACGTTTTAAGCTGTCGTCGAAATGAGAGTAAAATCGTGGTGACCCCATGGGTTCTAGCACGTCAGAGCTATGACAGGTTTCAACTGTGAGTAGGTATTGATACCACTGATGTTATATGTAACCCACTGATGCGTATTAGGTCAAAGGTGTTACGAATTCGACGAAGAGGGAGAGGAATGCAAACCAGTTGTCTGTCGCTTGCGTTAAGTCCTCGCCAGCGTCTCCGGTGCCTCCTTGGGCGGTGACACCTTCAGCACTGGTCCAGCCTTTGCTGAGCAAGTGTGTTACCAGGTTGACGTGGTTTTAATCTTATGCACTGCGAAACTCCCGCTAAAGCGGAGGGTTGCTTGTGAGATGTTCATCTATTCTTGTCATCCATAGCGTCAATAGCTCACACTTCAGTCCTGCCTTTATCTGATGTGTTGCTCAGTTTTTTTTTTAACGATGCAATCTGTGCCTCGAGTGTGCTGATGTTCCTATCATTACCTGCTGATATTAGCGGCGTTTACGCGTTGAAATTGAAGATCTTTGCCATGAGTAATGCGCTTTCTTATGCAGGATAATTGATGAAATATTCGTTGGCGTAACACACCATTTCCTTTATTATATACGCCATGCACCAATCGTGAGCATTGATCACTCTTTCGTTTCAAACGAATACAGGGCAAAACGCCGTCGCGACTATTGATACAGCACATTGGGTGGCAACTGTAACAAAGGATGGTGCTGCACCATCCCGCGAAAATGATATTTGACACATTGAGGATGAAGCTTTTACTCTGTGATAGTTGTCTAGGCCTGCGCATAGCCACGCCCCAGCTAAGCTGCGATGCGTTTTGAACCTATGCTGCCGGACAAAGTCCTGCTTTTTCAACGTCTTTTGTTTTGTTTCTCTGAGGGATTACATTCGTTAATTCAACGTGACAGGGTATTGCGTTAACGCATTATCCCATCCCTCTTGTATCCGTTTGCGCTATAAAGAAACAACAAGTGGGGGCGAGGGTGGAGACCCAGCGGTGATGTGAGATGATCGCTCTCACTCTGTATGACTGCAAATGCGTGGCAATCGGCGAGTTTGTGTCGTGAACAAATGTTTCGCACGCTCACTTCATTGGGTTATGTGGTAGAAAATAGGCTGAACATAGTTCAAATTACGTCCAAAAACTAGCTCGAGAAGCCAAAATCTGCGCTGAAATATACTGAATACGTAATGTTTGTCATGACGTTGCTCGCTGCTACCACCGGACATGTTAGGCATAAGAGGCGCGGAGCATAGTTTTTGCTGTCGTAATTTGTAAGTTGTAGTTTTTTAAGTCTGGCTATTGACCACGAAACATGGTTTCAAATCGCCTGCATGCTAAGTCAGATGGAATATGGAATGTAGAAAATTTGATAACGAGGCTGAAGTCTTTCTGCAAAAAACGCATGCATCGTTTCGGACGTCTACAGATCTAAGTGCTAAAGCTGGTACGCTTGTGCCACGAACGCACGTCCGGCGAAATGTGTCTGAATATCAATGTTTATGGTAAGAACAAACGTTTCGAGCGTTTCGCCTGGAATAGCGTTGACAACATTATGATTCATTAACACCAAATGCTCTCCACGCGCTGGATTTGGAGGCGGCCGTCCACTGAACTCCCAGCGCTTGAAATTCCCCCGACGCACCGGACACATCCGCCACCACGTGTGTTTTTTGTCAGTCTGGGAGCGAGGTACTCACGCAAACACAGCCAAACGATCCTGCCTTGTCCGGTAACCTTCGCCAACGCAGCACTCGCGGTACCGCATCCCACCCTCGCGGTACAGGTACTCCACCCCACGTCCGCGTAAATTTCCTGGATCGGCTTGGCAACGCCCTGTCAGCAGCGAGTGCAGCACAACCTGAAAGTGTTCACGTACGCGTTGAACACGCGTATTCAGAGGTCAAATTTTACTTTTCGCCAATAACCTTCCGTTGTTTCGACCAATTGTGCCGCATCATCGCTCACACGAATGCATGAGCGGCAATGATGTTCTTCGACTATGAGCAAAAAACAGACAATGAGGCGGTGCCATTGGCATGGCGGTTGTCAGGTGTTGTGCATGCCGGGGTGACCTTGAAATAGTCTGCAGGAAACACTTTCCACAAATTCGTTTCCTTCAGGCTCAGGTACAAGAGGGGTTTAACACTTGAAAAACGGCCTCGCTCTGAACTGCATAGAACGATCTCCAAGATGGCTATTTCAGTTCAAAAGCTCATACGAATGTGGGACATACCCTTCAATTGTGTACAGCCAGGCCCATCGAGGAAGGTGTCGTCTGCGGCGGAATCTTGTGTAGTCACCAACTCAGCGAGCACGACTGACATAGCCAAGGATCAGCATTCACCGAAAGTTAGTAAAGAGTTACCTGATGCGTTCAGTGCAACAGACACAATGACACGCACTCTGATTTGTGAACGACGAGATATGAACCCGCTTACGTTTCTTAACATCCATAATTGTGTTAACATAACTAGAGTTTACCCTATTTTTTTTAGTGCGGTGGCACTCATAATAATGCCTGGAATTTCATCCGCATAAATAATTTCAAGATTGCAGAAATGTACTCAACGGAACCGAATAAAATTCACCTGAGCTGGTTTGAAAAAGTTAACGCCATAACCTAGGTCTCAGGTCTTTTATTTCAACTTCGCATTGTGCGCGTTCCCACCTACTAATGTTGTCTTTCCAATACAGTAATGCCATGAAAGAGAGCGAGCACCTAAATAGCCGTCCCCTGCCTCAGAGCATGGCGTGTATTTTACGTATTTTGTCATTTGTATCTCACCAAAATAAGGCAGGTGGCTGTCGACTGGTATGCGGCTCCATTGCATTGGTAATCACTTAGCTTTCTTTCCAAATTGGCATTAGTGTTCATTTGGTGCGTTGCATCCACCAAGCGTAGCTTCAGCTCCGCGTGATATGCAGATCACGACCAACATAGGCCTGGGTAGTTCATCGGGCTCGACGCAACGTTGGTATGCACCGACCCCCGTAGCACCAGCACAGCTACAAATGTAAGGTGAATGTTACGTCAAGTCTGTTTAATCCTGCAGTGTAACAATAAAGCACAGGCAACGAGCCTCGGCAGCCGGTTCCGAGCGAGCTTCGTTGTTACTGTCATTGTATACTAGGCGTCCAATGTCAGCCCGTGGCGGCCTGCAAGTGAACCAACTTGCACCAACATGCATTCACGGACGACAGGTGTCAAAAAGCCTGGGTACAGAAGATAAACGCTTTATCATTCGAATGGCGGTTTGCGCTCGAGATTATTGTATACAGATACAAATACAATACAAATCAATACAAATCAGGATGATTCGTCACAATATCAACCCTGCCTGGTCAACGGGTTGCAGAATACGGCTCGAAATGTTTTCAGGTCTTGGCTGAGTACTGGATATGCCATGAGTGAGTAGCAGCAACAAATTACCGAACATGTCATCTCCACCTCTCGGTAAAGGTAATGGGCGTTCACAGGCCACTGCACGCTTGTGGATGTGCTTGAACATGTCAATAATTTTGTCGAGACGTTGAGCAGAACCATAGAAACACTGAGTCAGTGTTATGATGCTGCTGAGGAACAGCCTCCCGTTGTTTAAGGAAGCAAAGCACTGTTGCGCGTCATGACACCAAGTGGCTGTGCTTTTATCCAAAACTTATTCCTGTGACCTTCAAGATACCTCCCAAGGAAAACACTGCGATATGTTCCAGTACTGCAATTGTACATATGCATACATATAGTTATTTATACCTTTATATTAAAAAAGTATATACATCTCTCTCTCTCTCCTCTCTCTCTCTCGTCCTCTCTCTCTCTCTCTCTCTTCTCTCTCTCCCTCTCTCTCTCTCTCTCTCTCCTCCTCATCCTCTCCTCCTCTCTCTCTCTCTCTCTCTCTCATTACTACCGCTACGTAGACGATATCTCTGTGGAAGTTAGAGACATTGACCGACTAGGACGTCTCAAAAACACCTTTGAAGGGCAGTCTGGCATAAAATTACAAAAGAACGAAGTGTGCAAAACATATAACACTTTATTAACGTGACTCTTGATGGACAAGCACAGCGATTCACAACGACTGCATACCGAAAACAGAATAACAACGAACGGTGCTTAAATGCTGACAGTGAGTGTCCTCGACGTTATAACATTAGTGTAATAAGGTCCTTCATTAGACGTGCATTTAATCACTGCTCGATTGGACAGGACTATATTCATAATTGATGGGAATCAGATAGATCTTGGTGAACGACGGTTTTTCAAGTTCTGACGTTGAAATCGAAATGCAACGACATATGACAAGACACTTCGATAGAAAACCAAGACGAGACATCCAACCAACCATCAACCTGTATTATCAGAACCAAATGACATCTGCCCTCAAACAAGACGAAAAATCTTTACGGGAAATTATCTCTCGACATGATAAAGGCAAAAAC